AAATGTAATCTAAAACTCTAAAACTCAACTTATTTTATATGAGACTCAAAATGATGAGAAATATGCAAAATGAAAGTATAATGACTATAAAAGTTAAATAAAATGTATGATAAAGATGCCAAAATATGAATGCATCACTTCCTTGGTACTTTGTTTTTGTAGATATCGACGGCTTTTAAACTAAAGTCGTTTTATTATTTTTTGTTTTATTTKTGATGTACTTGATTTTACTAATAGAATTAATCAAACCAAAAAATATTTATAAAAACTAAATATGAAGATTAAAATCGGATTATCATTAAAATAAGTACTAATGGGACAAAATTGAATTGACAAAATACTAATGAGACATTTCCTATTTAATTTCGACCCAATTAGCCAAATTTCTCTTTGTTTTTCTCCAACAGTGTATACTTTTCAATTCTTCTCATTTACTCTCAATTCTATTTCAATTGGTACCGGTCATACCCAGAGTGTGACTGATTGCACGAGGGAAGAAATAATTTTCTTCTGGATTCTACTAGATCCCACACCAAAAGAGAATATTTTTTTTTTTTTATCAAAGCTGTTCTTTCCTCTACTAATTAGCAGTAGAAAACTTTACTCTTTATTTTCTCTTTCCTAAGATGATTTCGGAAGATTTATTTTTCCCTTCATTTCTTCTCTCTCACAGCAGCCATACCCATAGTTATTTTGCCAAAAATTTGTAACTCCATAATTATGGCTATTGGTTGGCTCCAAAATGAGGCAAGTGGTTTGACTCCACTATCACCGTGAAGAGACTCCACTATAACCCGACCCGACATAGTCTGCTCTCTCTCTCTTTGACAAAATTCCAATTATTTGACAAAACTCATTATTTGTTTTTTGCTTCAACAGATTTGTGGCAGTTCGTCAGCACTCACCACTTGCTACAAATGGATACTAACTGTGTGTAGCAAACTTAAGTGTCACCAATATTTAATTTTTCAAGTGGGATCTTACTCATATATATCCACTATAACAACTTTAGTAGTGACAAATTTGTTGTAACATGTTGTAACTAAATTGCTACAACTATATTTCGAATCGGTTAGTAACTAATGTGACAAAATATATTGTGGATATTTGTCCTTAATCCCCGAATTGATATAAAGTTGTCCTCACTTTTAAAAAAAAAAAATTCCGTCACAATCTTTGAAGCAAGTGATAGCATTTGTTACGAACAGCTACAAACAAATTAGTAACAAAAGTAGCCATGACTAAAATGTAATTGTTTGACGCAATTTAGCTACATGTTTGTGCTCGTGACAAATGTGTAACAACATACCCACAAATAACTACAAATTCCCTACAACTCGGTCCCTTTCAGGTTTCGTCGCAAATTTTTATCTATTTGTAACAATTATTTGCTACAAAAAAGTCTTGTAACAAATGTTGTGGCTATGTCACCTAATTCTTCTAGTGAAATTAGCTATTAAATTGTAAATATTAATTTTTTAAGTTATTACAAACATTTTTTTTTTCAATAAATAAATTAAAAAAAATGTCAAAAAGATAGATGACACATAACATTTTCTCATGGCTTGGGTTTAGAAAATTTTTAAAATATTATATAAGATATTGAATGATTAAG